TCCTTGCTCTGTTCTTGCAGTGATGCATCTTGCCATTTTTTTTATTTAGAGAATTATCAGTCATAGTTTTGTTTTAATCTCTCTTTCCTCTCTCCTTTCGCTTCATGTATAATTTGTGGCAAGGTAAGAAGTGCCCCTTCAGTTTGAAATCACCTGCAGTATATTCTGATTTTTTTTAGTTTTTTTAAGAGTTCCTTGCTATGTTTTGAATTGAAAGTTCAAGAATCTTTATTTTCCCCAAGGGGCAATTTGTTTCACGGTCAGTACACAAAACATCTATACTAGACAAGACATTAAAATAACAGTACAGAAATCATCAGTGTTCGTTGAGAAGCCTGACCGCTACAGGAATAAATGAGTTTTTCAGTCTGTTCGTTCTACATCTGGGCAGCAGATACCTACGTCCAGATGGAAGCAACCTGAACTCACCATGGAGTGGATGATCAGGATCTGCCAGAATAAGCCTGGCCTTGTTCACTGACCTCATCTTGGGTAGAAAAGCATCTTTAGTTTACATCTTTGAGAAAAAAAAATCTATAGAATTCACAGTGAAACCTCTTTATTGGTTTTTGCAGTTTTCCTTTACTTTTCCTTTCTTGTCTCATGTCCTCACCTCTTCTTTCAAGCCATGAGAAAATATGAGAGAAAAAACTTGACACTGTTTTGACCCCATTTTTATTCCTCAGTAACAAGCAGCCTGTGGAAGGAAATTGTTTAGCTCTGCAATTAACCATCCATGCCACTTCCCCATCACTTTTGACTATTTTTTCTTATTTATCACTTCTTTTTGCTCCTCCCTTGACTCCTGCATATGAAAACTTACTTCAAGCATGAGATCCTTAATTGTGAAAGCAGAAATAACAGCTAGGATAAAAAAGTGGCAGAGATGTATAGTATGTACCCTCCCCTGTGTGTTTTTTTAAAATAATTATTATTTATTTTTTTGGTGGGAAAAATTTAAATCTTCTTTACAAGGAGATGTTTATTACTGGTGTTTACCTTCCTGATATGGGTTTATTATGAATGGACCTCTGTTGCCGACGTAAAAATCACTGTTCCGTGAGAGAGCTTATTGATTTCAGCTCATGTTCACTGAAATGTATCTTTTTTGAAAGTGGACTTAAAAAACTCAGACTGCTGCTCGATGCTCAGAAGGAAAGGAAAGAGGGAAAAGAAAAGAGAGAGAGCTCAGTGCGAAACATCCAGACTGCCATAAATAGTGTTTTTACATAACTGGCTGGATGCTGATGTGATTGCATCTGATTAGACTTGGAATTGTACTCAGCCACTGGAAGAGTCGCAGTCAGGACTTTCTCTTTGGAAGTAAATAAGCGATTATTTGACACTTGCACTTGCAGTTCAGGTATTCTTCATTAAAACATGTAAATGATACACTAAACTCAATGCATTTTAAACACCAAAAAGTATTTTCCTCAATGCTTGCATTCTTCCATCCATCCATCCATTATCTTTACCCGCTTATTCCATTTTGGGTCACGGGGGTCGCTGGTGCCCATGTCCAGCAATCACTGTGCGAGGGGCGGGGTACATCCTGGACGGGTCGCAAGTCCATCACAGGGACACATAGAGACAAATGAGACAAACAACCATTCACTCTCTCACTCACACTTAGGGACAATTTAGAGTTACCAACCAGCCTAACATGCATGTTTTTGGACTGTGGGAGGAAACCCGGAGTACCCGGAGAAAACCCACTCATGCATGGAGAGAACATGCAAACTCCACCTAGAAAGGCCCCTGGAACGGGGTTTGAACCAAGGACCTGCTCGCTGAGAGGCAGCAGCTCTACCAGTTGCGTCACCGTGCTGCCCTACTTGCATTCTTATGAATACATATTAGATACCGATAAGTCTGACTGAGGTGTTGGTACTATGTATTCTTAAAGTCCAACATCCACCAATTTTTCACATTACATACCCAGCAAAATATGATGCATAACAAATAAATACTTGTGTTCTGTGGCAAACGTTGAAAAGTAACAGACTGGTTTGAAAAACGTGTTGTTGTTTTTTTGGTGACATTTTTAAGCTGTTTTAGCCACAGCTTTGGAAACAGCCACTTTACTTTCTTATACGAGGTGTGATGTCACGCCAGGGATCCGATCATGTGAGACCCAGATTTCTATTGCACAAGGCTTGAGACAGCAGCAAAGATGGGCAGTCTCATGAAGAAAACATCCTCGTCCATTCTCAACCTCTCCAAACAAACAACCACACACCTCCTTTCTAACTAAGGCCCAAAATTATTTGTGAGGTGACAAATAATCTACAGGAAGAAGAAAAAGACGTGGAAGTTGAAGGAAGTTCGGCGGAGATAAGAGCCAGAGAGAGTAGGATGAGTAATGAGATTTGATATTTGTGGTATTTAGCATGTTTGGCTGTATAGATGTAGTGTTTAGTTTAGTCAGTTTTAATGTGTTTGAGTCAAAACAACGAGGCAATTTTTGAATGTAAAGCTGCAGCCTCTGTTGGAGGTTGAGGATGGAACCGCGGAGTCAGAACCTCTAACAGAGGAAGCAGAGATGAAAAAAAACAGGGTCTGGGATAGAGTTGTATTCGGGTGTAAAACATCTGACCCGACCTGGACCCAGCCCGTAGCCATTTTTTCTGAACCCGACCCGGCCCTATCAAATTAACAGTAATTACAGGCCCGAACCCGAAATAAAACCAACATTTATTTTTTATTGAAGCTTTTACTGCTTTTGTAAGCAGATCAGTTGGACATGATATTTTAAAAACGTAATGAAAGGAAGATATAAGATTTCTTGTTTCACCTAATGGATATTAACATACAAAACAAATAGCCTAAAAAAAGCACCTTTAAAGATAGGCTATTACACAGATGAACAAAAATATTTTTAGAGCAAAATTATTGGGAAAAATACAGAACAAGACTATTTTAATTGAACGCGCAGCTCACTTCAGCTTTTGTAGATGCTGCTGCTTCCTTCACCGCAGATGACAGCAGGTGCGGAGACGCACGCACGCGTCCGGTGATCAGTTGATCCATCCGAGTTTAACTGGACGTTGTTTTACCTCTTTCAACCAGCCGGTCAGACCTGCCCCCTCAACAAGTAGATTAACACAATTTTATATTGTGCATTCTTATTTAGTTTTATTTGTGCTGTATGATTCGTAAAATCTCACCGTAGAAGCCCGAGCCCACGTGCACAATTATTGCGTAATGCGCCAGCAGCAGCGTTACTCTTTTCACAGTCTGATTAACTGCCGCACTCTTCTTTCTTTCCTCATCCTCTCAACATATAAACTTACTGCCTCCTCCTCTACAAGTAGATTAACACAATTTTATATCATGCGTTCTTATTTAGTTTTATTTGTGCTGTATTCATAAAACCACATCAAAACCTGAGACCAGCCCGGCCCGCACATTTTTATGGCCGGGCCCGGGCTTCGGGCTCAGGTTAGAAGTGACGGCTCTAGTCTGGGACAGGAAGGATGAGAACTTTGACGAGGAAGTGGGAGATCCGTTATTTGTTTTAGAAGCAGAAAGAGACGAAGAGCGCACTGAGCGTCACACTCCTGCCCGTATACCCAGCCCGTAGTGTAATTTCATCGGTCTTTGGTAATTATTGGCCGTGTGCTCGGAAGTTTCCTTGACTGGTTTAAGTTTTTTTTAACACTTGCATGATCCCAACATGAAAAAAAACTTATAAACAACAAATTCTTCAACAGGGATTACTCCTTATGATCACTTGGGACTATAACGGTAAGTGTTGTACTTTAAACAATTTGTTCTAATCTTTGGTCTTTTTCTTTAACAGTCTTCACCAACTCAGAGTCTGGCCCAACGTTTGAGTCCCTTTGAGCAAACATTTGTATAACGCAGACAGACCATCTTGCAATCTGTTCTTTACCACTACCTTCGATGTAAAATGTCCATCAGACTGTCTGCTGTTGTCAGTTCACTGTCTGAACTCCGTTACAAATCGTCGTCTTGCATGCTCAATAATCCAGGTAGATGAATCTATCAAGGTGGAGTCAGGTCCTCTGAACGGATTCTTCTTTGTTGAAACGTCTCGTCTTTTATCCAGGAGACAAAAGTCTAGACTGAAGAAGTCTTTTTGGATCCATCCAGAGGACCTGACTCAACCTTGTTAGATCTGGTACAAATAATTTTTTATGAGAGATTGTTAGTTTTATATTCATCAGCAGACTGAACCTGTAATAGTCACCTCACTTTCTCTTTTATTAGAGACCAAACTGAAAACTAATCCTCCTTCAGGCCTCCACAGAGTCCTAGTGGACTCTTTGTTGAGTTTGCAGGGCTGCCATGTGGGGCGTTTCAGCTTCCTCCTGTTTTAAGACGATGTGAAAGAATAAGTCCGGCTACTTTTTTTTGTTTCACTGACGACAACATCTTGTATTGCTAAAATATAAATCGTCTCCATAGCAACTGTGTGTCTTTTATCAAAGTAGACAAGCAAAACAATTTCACACAGGATCTGTTCTTCGCTTTCTCTAAACTTTTATTCGCCTTAAAGAATTTGGGTTTACAACTTAACATTTCACTTCTCTAAAGTTTTTGCCCCTTTCAGTTCATGGAGCTAAATAAAGCTTTACTCAACCTCAAATAAATCCATTTCTGCCTGTGAAAGTCCTGCTTAATTAAAGAACATCCTGATTTGGAAGGAAGCAGGATCAAGGCAAATTATACGACTGTCTAATGAGTCGCCTGATCAACTGTAGGGTTGAGAAGGTGGGAGCATTTCTTTGCCGGAAGAGTCACTTTGCTGCATCTGTAGATGCCAAGGTGCCCTTTCACTGTCTGCCTCAGGCTACCCGAGCTGATCATTACGTTCTAAAAGCGATGGTGTTACTACAAAAGGTCAATGAAGAACTCAGTTTTACAAAGTCGAATAAATGTGGTCTCTGAAGGCTTCAATGTGGGTTAAAGATGTGGCAAAGTAAAATCTGATGAAAGACACTGACTGTTTTGTTGTTTCATGTTTGTCACTGCAGCAGCCAAGACTTTGCTCAACAAAAAGGCAGATGTTAAGGTAAGACTTGTCGTTTGTCTTTCTCCACCTCCTTCGTGCACTTTACATTTCCAGGGTTTCACATTCTGCCTCCTTCTTTCTCTGCTGATTTTTTGCTCTATTATTTGCATAATTTCTTTTTTGCTTCAATCTTTTCTGCCTAGAACTGTTTTATTGTTTTTGTTAGATGTTTTTTCTTGTGATAAATGTTCATATTGTTTGTTCTTGGACTGTGTGCTTTCTGAACGAGGGCTGCTGGATTTTACTGCTCGGCCATTTTGAAAACGAAGGGCATTTTGGGACAGATTTGATTAAAAACAACAGCCCTGGTTTGGATACACATGCGTCTGTGTGCAGTTTGTGTGTTTCTTCTTTCGTATCTGTCACTTACCAGAGCACAAACCTCAAGCAGTACACCCTTCTGAAAGCATCCATTATTTTAATCTAGCTTTATTGTCACCTCTGCATCTCCATTATTAAATATGTTAGTGCTCCTTGTTTCATCACTTCCTCTCCTTCTCATCTCTCCATCTTGGCCTTTTGCTCCTCTTTCATTCCTCTTTTTCCTCCTCACCCCAGCTGGTTTTTAACCCCACATTCCTGCTCATCCTTTTAATGAAGATCTCGCTCCATCCCACGCTCACACAGCGCAGTAACACATCCCACACAGCTTCCATCAGTGCATGCGTGACAGCCAGCGACAAAGCGTGGAACATACTGTTCAGAGCTGTGCGTCGTGTTGAGCTTTGTGCACGTGTATGCAGACGTCCAGGTGTGTGTTTGTGAGCTGAAAGTGCAACTATTGGTGTGAGCATGCCATCACATGGAGTGTGTGTAAGCGTGGGTGTCCATGTGTATGTGTTGGTGTGAGTTTGTGTGCGTAAACGCCCCCCCCTCTTCTTCCTCCCCGCTCGTTCGGTTCAGCAGGGAGTGTGACTCTGGTTCCAGGAATAGCTGCCAGTCTGAACCCTGGAAACTCAGACAACAGAAATAGATGCTTGCTTCCCTTGCGGCGCGCTCATCGCCTAGCAACAGGCTCCCTCCACACTCGCCCCAAAGCATTTCTAAAGCCATCCTCTTCATTTACTAATGTCCCCACTTTCCTCTCTCTGCTCCGTGAATCTGCTTCCTCCCCCCTTCGTGTTTTTTTGCGGTTCTTCAACCTCCACTCGTCGACTTCCTGTTATATTTTTCTTCTGCTGGTTCGTTAATGGCACCTGATGCTTTTCAGCCGTAGCACCTGCCCACTGCGAGCAGGTGGTCGCACTCTGGCACTTTTCCCACTACCTTTAGCCTCCTGTGCTCCCAGCTACCCCCCCACCACAAACACCACTCAATGTAGGGGTTAGTTTAACGATAATTTCATATTTATTTTAAAAGATAATTTGATGCTTTATTCAAAAGTGAGGGTCAGAAAAACAACCAATACAACAGATTTGGCCCTAATTTTCTAAAAACGTTTAATTAAAATGACCAATTCCAGTATTTGATCTATAAAATATTACACGTAGCATTAAAAGCTGAAAGGACATGGGCACCGGCGACCCCGTGACCCAAAATGGAAGAAGCGGGTAAAAGGTAATGGATGGATGGATTAAAAGCAGAAAGTTTGTCATGATTATAAATTTAAAAGAGTTTTGGGTATTTGATAGTTTTCTGGCAGGATACATTTTTCACTTCTTTGTCTTTTTATGATCACATTTAGCTGCTTATGACTTTAGAGTAACAGTTTTAAAATGAGTATTTCTACCGGATGACGTCCATTTGAACATCTTTGCTTTTCTTCATCCTTTTCCACAATCCTTTGTTTGCAAAAGCTTCAAAATCTCCTTTTTCTGATGCACCTGATCCATCGCCTCCTTTGTCCAATCAGTCTGAAAACCTCCTCTCTTCAACCTGCGTTCATCATCAAGTGAACCACTTTGGTTTTTAGACTGTTTGGGGGTTTTGTGCCAGCATATTCACTTGGTGTCTTTGATTGTTTTATTTTATCCCAACTCCTCCTTCCTCTACCATCCACATCCATCCATAACTTCATCTCATCATTCCTCGAGGACAGAAACGCAAGTCCAGCTCAACTGTCCAGTACATGGTGAGCATGCTAACTAATCATTTATCTAGTCACTCCCTCTTTTTGAGACCTTTTGTTCATTTGGTAACTCTCACTTCCTTCATTCACCTTTCCTTCATCTTGCTGGTTTATAGGTAGTGTCAGTACTCCATTTCACAGAAGTGTTGAGCTGTGCTAAATATGCACTTTTTTCAGTCTAACATTTAGTTTTTGAAATGCTGCATTAGTGGACAGGAAATAATAATAATAATAAAAAAAACTTTACTTAGTAAAGTGCTGTACATAAACTGAGGACAATCTGCCTCTGAAATGCATCAGGTGCCATTTCTCATAAATAAGTTAATATGATGATGGCAGAAGGATTTGAACCCAGGGAGTGCAAACTTGTCTCAGGGAGCTCAAAAGATTTTCTTAAACCTTTTGTAAGTGAAAAACCACAAAGTAGAGATAGTAGTACAAGTAGTAAGTAGTAGTTTATTTTAGTATTTATATATACTGTATATACATATATGTATATATATATATATATAAAGGTGTTTTAAACCCTTCCCACGCTCTTGCAATATTCTAAACAATGTTTCTAAACTCTAAATGCTCTAGGAGAGCGCAGAATGTTATGATCTTAGCTCTCTGCCTCCTCTCAGCCACTTGCAAGCGCTCTTGGCCACGCCCACTTCTCCGCTCTACACGTAGGAGAACAGCTGATCAGGTGCATCAGGAAGCTTATCCTGCAGTGTGGGCTGCACAAAGCTGCAGCATATGCTAAATAATAAAAAAAAATTTTTTAAATAAAAATTCCATACTGATCGTGCGGCTCATCCATCAATCAGCCAATTGTGTGTCATGTCCACTCTTATTTTGAAAAACCACGATAGAGTGAGTCCGTGATAAATGAACCACGAAGTAGTGAGGGAGTACTGTATATGGGCTAATGCAAATGGAGATAACAAATAAAGGTGTAGGTGAAAGTCAAAGTGGGTGTGGCAGGACTGAGGTGCGGGATTTAATCTGAGGAAAACTGACGTCGCAGAATAAAACTCCAACACATTCGATAAACCACACAAGTAAGAGAGAAATAAGCATGGGATGTGATATTTTGTGATCCTTACACAAATACAAAAACTACCCAGTGGTAATCTAAATACACAGATATATGCAGAAAGTTACATTTTATCATCTCTCATGGTCAGACTCAGTAATATTCAGAATTTTAAGAAGATAAACTAAAACAGAAAAAGTTCCTGCTTCTGGATTCAAATTTAAAATTTTTCTGCCAAACTTTTCTCTAGCTTAAAATAATAATATTAAAAGAATCAGCTTGTATGAAGATATAACCCAAAGACGAGTGATCTGGAAAGGTTTTTGACTTTTGAACTTGTTGCCCTTTTTTCTGCACTGACTTCTTTTTCCTTTATTTCTTTTGGACTTTTTTTTTTTCTTTCATCCTTTCGTTCACTTCCCTCCTTTCCAACCTTTAAAACCACCTCCTTATCTTAGATATTTGGTCACTTCTTGTCCTATGTCCTCTTTAAAAAAATGTGTCCTAGGTTTGCTGTCTTAATAAGGATTATAATAAGTACTATATATGATTACTTTATGCCATGAAGATGTCAATCAATGATGATTCTTGCAACTCACCTGCAGGATGGAAATGTTAAAGCCCTTAATGCAGCAAACATGTTCACCATTTTAATGCAACGTTGATGAAGTAACATTTTTGAGTGGAGTGATGGATGAAGACTGGCTTTGTTGCTAAATGCTTGTGAGTGTGTGTTTGTGTGTGCGTGGGTATAATACTGTTAGAATGTAAACATTTATGTGTCTTCTTTTTATGGCTGTTCAGTGTTTTTATTTTTTTATGCCTATTTGTGCTGACCTCATCTCCTGCTATTTTCTCCTCTCCTGAATAAGTTCACTTGTATGGTTGATGTTAACCCTTAAACTCTCATCAGACACAAAACCTGATTTATTTACATCCTTTGATTCAGACACCATGAACAGATACTTTGTGAGTGAGCAGATTACAAGACTTTCTTGATAGTAAATGTTGAAGTCAGTCAGTTTTCTTGTAATTCTGAGTAGGTCTGCACAATATGAATCACAGGCCATTACATTTTAAGTACCATGGATTCATGTTTTTCATGCTTTTTATACATTTGATCAATCCAGCGAACTCTCGCTGACCTTAATGACCCCACCTGGTTTAGATCTGTAACTCTCAACTGGTGGGTCGTGACCCAAAAGTGGGTCACTGACCTGTTTTTAGTGGGGCGGTGGGCTTTCCCTGGGTGAAAAATGTAAAATAGAATTTAAAAAAAATCAATTTTTGATTATTTTTTCAGTCTTATGGTCAAATCTTAAGAATAATTTTAATAAGACATGTTATATATTCAGTGTGTGAGTACTCATCTAAAGCTACTTATTTCTAATCTTAATGAAGCTTCTCAGTCGTCATTAGAAATGGGTGAAATTACTGCGTTTTAGTTTTAAATCAAACGCAGCTAACTGACCACTAAAGGGAATATTTTCTTCTCTATCGTTGCCACTTGCTGGTCATCTTGGTTTATCAATAAACTTGTTTTTTGGTGTTAGCATACAGTAATTTTCTATTCTCCAATCTCAAGGTTCTAACTGTGCCATCTTTTATATTCAATAAATTTGATAAGTTAAACATTTTTTTTGATTTGGATGATGGCGGGTCTTGAAACCAGACCAGTTGAGACCAATAAAATTAAACGGTAATATCGGACAGTGCAGATTCTTCTTATATTGTGCAGCCCTAGTTTTGAGCTTTTCAACTTGGGGAGACGATGCCTACATTATAAAAGCATTGTTAGCATGTGAGTCAAGTGAAATTTACTCACCATTCTTTGCTTATCCCCCCCCCCCCCCCCCCCCCCCCATTAAATCATCACACCTACATCACACTGGTCGAAGGCAATAAGTTGACTTTTCCAGACATCTCACTGATGAGTAGGAATTGTAAGAATTTATGTAACGGTAGCCGACTTCTAAAAGTGACTCACTTTGATGATTCACTTCCACACCCCGTGTTCTGCCCCACTTAGCAATTTGCAAGTTTTTATTTCTACCCTCCAACAGATTTAATGTAGATCCAATGCAAAATTATAACGAGCCGTAGAGGAGGGGCTGCTCTTTGATGTGTCGTCTTCAAACAAGCATTTAATCGAGGCGGTTCATTCCAGCCAAAAGGCGTAGGTGAATGGTTGCTGTGTGTCTTAAACATGTGACATCACTGGTGACAATGAGATGATGATGATGTCACACAGTGTCACCCCCTCCCCTTCGTTATACCACTCATAATAACAGCAGTTTAGCCTTTAAGATGATGTTTAGTTTGTATGACTGTATCTGCCTCCCACCTTCTGGACTCCACGTTGTACATGATATGATGATATGCACCTATTTTTATCTTGCTGTGCTTGTGAGGTTGTTCGCTTCGTATTATGTTTCATCTCAATATGGAGATTTTCATTACAGGGCAAATTTCAGAGAAGGAAAAATCTGAATGTGGCTTATACATTAAAATTATATTCAGAATGCTCCCACCTCATAAGCATCAAGTTAAAAAGCTCACAAATAGACTCGCATGGACACACACACTCTTGCTGATGTTAACACTCTTGTTGTGTCTCCTCCCTTTCCCTTTCCTTTCCTGCACAGCCCCAGACAAACAGCACCAAAAACAGCATAGTCACCAGCCCCAAAGGAAACATCCCGTCACCTGCTCTGGTATTTACCTCCTAACCCCTCTTCACCTGTTCATGTGTCCGTCTCTTTTTCTATAGCCTGTTTGTCCTTAAAGACACCTCGTTGTACTCTGTCCTGCTCCTCAATCCTTCGTCTTGTGTCTGTTTTTCCTCTCTCTGCCTGCCAGTTGTGGGTAATCTTTGCCGAGTTTCTGCCATGGCCACAGTGGTTGGTTAGGTCTTAAATCAGCAGGTAGTGTCAGGAGACATTTGGCTGTGGCAGGTGGATATGCCACATGACTTGTATCCAGGTTGAAATTGTGCAGCTGTGCCATTTTTTTTCTTCTTGTTTTCTAAAAAAGAAACAGACATCACATGCCTGCCAGGACTGTCAGTGCAATTTACCCCCTTCCTCCTGCAAGAAAATAGTTCCCCATTGTAAAACCCCAGAGAATCCAAAGGACTAAAAAACACCAGCCATTTTGAGAGAATTCTTCCACTTTTGTCTATTTTAAAAACCTGAAAAATCTGGTGAATTGAAATGGAAACTTTAAGGTTCTTGAGTTTATAAACATAATTTTTTAACACCCATATCTCCAGTGTTTGCATTTAACATAAACTCCTCTTGATCTGTGGGAACATGTAGGGTTGTGTTGCATTTATAATCACAATTACTGATGTGGATTTTTCCACCTGACGTTCCACCTGGGTGAGGTTCCTGGTGCATCTGTTGTTCTACCATCAAGGGTTTTGAATCACTCTTAGTCTGACCCCTCCACCGAGGCCTGTTTGCCATGGGAGACCCTACCAGGGGCTAATGCCCCAGACAACATAGCCCCTGGGATCACATGGGGTATCAAACCCCCCCCCCCCCCCCCCCCCCCCCCCCCCCCCCCCCCCCCCCCCCCCCCACACACACACACACACACACACCACCACCACATTACGGTGGTGATTCTATGGAGGGAGTTGGCAACCTGCTCTTGGACTCCAGTTTTTGGTGAATATTTAGTCCAACATAAAATGGAAAGAAATATTTCTGACAAAAAGGCATACGATCATAAAATGAGCCACATTTCTACAGTTGAGAGGAGCTCAGTTCTACAGCTGTATTTTTAGTAAGTCGTGTAGTTTATGGGTTTTTATATTAGCTTTTCCTATTTTAAACCTTGGTTCCTTATGCAGCATCATGTCTTTTTATACCGTCAGGCTTGCAGCCAGGCTCGGTCATAAAATGGGTGACAACTGAGTTGCAGATGCTGCTCTCATCATCAACGGCGACATGTAACACAGCAGAGCATGTAATAATCCATGAAGTCTTCTAGTCTGTTGAGTCCAAAACAAAAAGCCACAGGAGCATGCTTTTTAAAGAGGCATGCTTTACACTGTGTGTGTGATTTTTTTTTTTTTTTTTTTGTGTGTGTGAGGTTAGTTTTTTGCTGGTCCCTGTATAACCAAAGCAGGAGTTCTCGGTGTGGGTTGAACTGCGCCAGGGCTCTCCCTTGTCTCCGATCCTGTTTGTGGTGTTTATGGACACGATCTGGAGATGCAGTCGTGGAGAGGAGGGTGTCTGGTTTGGGAACCTCAGGGTCTCATTTCTGCTTCATGCGGATGATGTGGTTTTGCTAGCATCTTCAGGCCAAGACTTTCAGCATGCATTGGGGTGATTCACAAACAGAGTGTGAAGCAGCTGGAATGACAGTCACCTCCTCAAAGTTTGAGGCCATGGTTCTTGACCGGGAATGGATGGAATGCCCCCTCCGCATCAGGGGGAGAGAGTTTGCCTCAGTTGAAGGAGTTCAAGTATCTGGGTGTCTTGTTAACGAGTTAACGGTAGGATGGAACAGGGGATAGATCAACGGATTGTGGCATCGTCCTCGGTAACAAGGGCTTTGCTTCAGTCAGTCATGGTGAAGAATGAGCTGAGTCAAAAGGCAAGCTTGATTCACTGGTCTGTCTACGTTGCAACCCTCACTCGTGGCCATAAGGTTTGAGGTTTGGATCATGACTGAAAGAACGAGATCCTGGGTACAAGTGGCCAAAATGGGCTTCCTTCGCTGGGTGGCCGGGCTTAGCCTTAAAGATGAGGTGAGAAGCTCTGTCACCCAGGGGAGCTTGGAGTAGAGCTGCTGCTCCTCTGTATCGAAAGGAGTCAGTTGAGATGGTTCTGGCATCTGATTAGGATGCTTCCTGGACGCCTTCCTTTAGAGGTTTTCTGGGCACATCACACTGGTAGGAGGCCCCCGAGGAAGACCCAGAAGTCGTTGGTGGGATTGTGTATCTTCTCTAGACCGGGCTGGCCTCAGGGTCCCCCAGAACGAGCTGGAAAGTTTAACTGGGGAGAGGGACGTCTGGGTTTCTCTCCTGGACCTGTTGCCCCTGCGATCTGACTATGCACAAGTGGTAAAAAATGGAGTTGGTAATGTTTTTCACTCTATTAAACTATTAATCTTATGTGGTTTTTTTTTTTTTTAGAAGTGTTAAATGTGCTAGTTACGTTCATTCTCTAAAGGGTTTTTACGAAAATATGGACTAAAGCTGAGAGTAGAAGAGGCTTTTTCTCTGATCTTTGAAGGGAACAGAGAGTGGGAGGGCGGCTGTGATCTCTATTCTGCTGCCAGGGGCTCGAACTAGTTAGCATTTAGCTATTTGGTACATTTGTTCATTCCTTTGAGAGCAGGGAGAGACGGACCATCACTAGCATTGACCCTAATCTTCTGACCTGGAAACTGTAAGGTCAGGTGAAAGGATGTGTAGTGTGCACTCGTATAAATATATTTAAACTACTCATGTTGACTCCTGTCTGAATAAATGGATTTAGTTTAATCGCTTTAATGTGAGGTCATCAGTAAACTCCCCCCATCTAAAGACACGATGCCATCAGCACTCACACCCTCCTAATGTGAAAACCCCAGGTACTTTGTTCTCACTCATTATCAAGTTGCCATCAGTGCTTGTTTCCCTGGGAAACGGTTGCCTTGACAACAGCAGGAGCATCACCAAGAGAGACAACCAATGACTGGTCATCACAGAGGTGTCACTTCCTGAGGGGGAGAGGAGTCCTGGGAAGGATATGGCAGGTGCTGATGGCTTCTGATTTACTGTTCATGAAGTGGAGACAGCTGTAGACAAGGGAGGAATAAAATCTGTGAAGAGCCTGAGTCATCAGGAATCAGAGCCTCTGGAACAAGAAGGGAACATTGTGGATTAAGTCGCAAAGGTCAAGAACTGGTGTTTCGAAGGAGCCACTAAATGTGCTAACAATGTTAGATGGACTTTATAAAAATAAGAGGTTAGAAGAATACTTGATAGTAATAAAACAAGATGGAAAAACTGGCTCTTTTTGTGGCTTCCTGTGCTCTGAGTGATGTAGGAAAAACAACAAGAAGTTAAATGGATTATTTTGCGTCATTAAAAGGCAGTCTCCATACGCTTAATCCCAACAAGTACCAACCACTCTGACAGATTTGTGTTTATATTCAGAGTAAAACCTGAAAGAACGCCAGCCTCTGGCAGTGATGGCGCCGTCTGTTGGGACGAACACTGAGTTGTCTCCGTCTTGGAGGTATCGCAGAGTTTTTTGGTCGGGTGTGCCAGCACCTTGCAGGACGTCGGAGCTCGTGTTTGTCTCTGTCACAGCACGCTTTATGCATATTGTATGAGCTGGCTGATTTGTCCCATTAGATTTTTACATTTCACATGATTCAGTGAATATTTGCATCATGTTGAATAGGATTATGCATACTGGTTCAAAAATAAAAGACTTGCTCTTATGCAGCAAAAGGTTAGGTACATTCAAGTAAAATAACAGTTTTTTAAGCTCCGTAAACAAATCTATGAAAGATATGTTGCAGAGAAATGCATGTTTTAAAGTAAAACACCTTGTTTACTTACTGTTGATGTGAAGGTGAATTTTAGCAGATTCTCTAAGTGTGATGTGCTCTCAGCAGACATTTTGGTAAGAAATGTAGCACCGTCTCTGTTGGTTTGTCTGCAGAACAGTTAGTGTTCAGCTCATCCACCCACTCCATTGCTTTAATGGGGGAGGAGGGGGGATGTTTCAACCCCATCTTCTCCACCCAACTTTACAAACACTTTCTATTCACCCAGCATTCACATTTCTCTTTATTTTCTTTTTTAAACTTTTAATCATTTCTGTCTACATTTATGTCAAATTCTGCTCACTTTCTTTCCCTTTCTGTCTTACTTTTCCTCCATTTTCTTTCGCCTCCCCTCCTCTTCCTCCAGGAACCTCAGACAACTGTCATCCATAACCCAGTGGACGGGACAAAGGTATTCTTCATCCTCCCAGTCCTAACCCTACTCTCCATCCTTCTTTGTCATTCTCCTCCTCTTCCTTTTCTTCTCCTGTCCTTTATATCCTTTTTTAACATGCATCTGTGTGAGCGCTCCTTTGACTCTGGTTATATCATTTGTGTGTCTTCATAGATATTCTCTAACTCCCTAAATAAATGTTGTGACTCTACAAACACAACATGGTTTGGATTGTTGACAGATTCCATCTTTTGTTAAAGTCCTCATCATCATCCTGTGTAGTTTGAGTGCAACTTCATTTAATATTTTTCTCAATGCAAACCTTTTTTTTTTGCAAATGCATTTGTAATATGATAAAGATTTGAAACATCAAACTTCGTTTCAAAAGCTAAAACACAACGAAGATTTAGCTTTGATGTAAAACTTCTCAGTTTATTAGTCTCAATCGTTGCTAACTAAACCAAGTACTAACCATGTAACTATAACAACACAAGTTGTTACTGTACCACCCAGTTATTATTTCTTAGCAGTCCAGCAGCAGAAAGGCCAGCTGAATAATGTTTTGCATGTTTTCTTTGTTTATTTTTGTGAATTTCTGGTCAGGGGCTAAAAGCCAGCCTGAGATTTATTTTTCATTTGGTCTCTTGTAAAGTGACTCTTTTTATACATCTCATCAACTTATTACATATTTATTAGGAGTCAACTAATGCAGGATGAGCTTGATTATTAATCATGGAAACAAGCAAATAATGTTTGGAAGTGAGATATAACTAGAAAGTTCTCCAAACTAGGAGTAACACAAACAAAAACATTGATTTTATTATAATATGTATATAAATACTCACCTTTGTAGTCCTGGTCTGATAGCAAATATATATTAAGGTTTGTTCCGTCATTTTATGAAACCATTTGTCATTTTTTTCTTCTTCTAAAACAATTATGCTATTGTTTTGTTTATGTTCTAGCTTATATGTGAACCACAGCTCCCCCTGTCCCCAATGGATCCAGTTTAAATGCGCTTCTTCGGTCATGTGACCCAGCAGGCCTCAGTTTGGACAAATTGTAATTATTTGATACACATCAGCCAGTTGAAAACAGGACAAGCTGCGGCCACTTAGTAGTGACTAGAGAGGTGTAGAAACTAAATTAGTAAAATTTTAATGGCTTTATTGAATTTCCAATAAAAACAAAAAATACTGATGAGCTTTGAATTTATTTGTCAATGCATGTTGGGTAATGTGTGCATTACATACACATTATCTTCTGGTAGAAAGGGTTTGTACGATCCATACACTAGTGCATAATAGGCAATATGAAGATTGTGAAAGAAAACAAAACAGCATTCATCTTATTACTTAATAAAGTAATTGTGTAGTAAAATGTCTGAAAATGGTTCCCCGTCAAGTAAACAAGTTTGACAGCAAGTGGGTCCTTTGTCATGATAAAGACTATAAAGCAAAGTGAGCATGAGTACGTGTGTTAGAGTGGAAACAATGGTAACATTTAAATACAATGATCCAGCAAAGCACAAGTAAACAATAGTTTATAAAACTTGACGTTTATTATGTTTTGAAAAAGCTTAAAGACTTTAAAACTCCCGTTATCAACCCGTCGCTTTTTTTTGTCTTGTTCGTTCAACCAACTAAAGCAAATGGCAGATGTTCTAATCAGGTACATTAGTGAGATTTTTTTAAATTAGATAAAAAAAATCCCAGTTGTACACAGAGAGCCATGATGTAGTTAAGAAAATCCCCCCCCCTTTTTTTTTTTTTTTTTGACACTCTTGTAGCTTCTAAAAGTAGTTCTTAAAATGTGGATTTACACTTTCCACCGAGTGTTTTTAAAAGTTGTGCATGTTCCTGCATGAGTTTGTCATTAGATATTTTCCACCAGGCATGACCAAGGCATCTGTTGTGTTCTAACATTTTTATCTGTTTACTTGTGATTCACACACAAAGCAAACCAAAAAAACATTACTATTACCGTAATTTCCGGACTATTGAGCGCAACCGAATATAAGCCACGCCCACTAAATAAAAATATTTTTTAAATTGTACATATATATAAGCCACGCCTACAAAATTTAAAAAAAAGTACATACATAGGCCATGCATGTATATAAGCTGCGGGTGTCCACATTGTAATATGACATATTTACACAGAAATATTTTTAAAACTTTTAGTTAAATACGTACCGGTAACATATACAAATACAGTACGTACAGTAAAACTTTTTTTTTTGAACAGTGACTGTAGCATGACTGATTAAAAAAATAAAATAAAATCTATAGCCTACCAGGAAGTCATTGATCGCTATCTTCCTCCTACGCAATGCCCACTGACCTGTTCGGTAATTTCATTGGTCAGATTTTTTTAACCTTGATTTATATAGGTAGTCTCACTGAGTAACGAGGACCCACCCCCCCCAAGAGAGACGTGTATCGAGCAGCTATGCGAGTGCCCGGGTGTGACGAGGCTAAATGTTTTGGCAGCATGAAGCTCGTTAGCACATTAAAAAAAAAAATCATAAATTAGCCACAGCATTGTATGAGCCGCGGGAAATTTAATTTAGTCCGGAAATGACGGTACTTTGTTCCAAACCCACATCAGAACACTGCAGACACTGTGCATCCAGTGCTGTTGATATTTTCAGGTCCAGTTATAGTTGGAAGAAGCATACTTGACCTTTCAGTCTGGGGGTTTGAGAATTACTGTTATCCAAACTTTTGGAGCCAGTAACACATTTGTGCTGAACGCCAAGAACATTTCTGAGCAGTCCAATTAAGGACTTGATGCTTTTAAAGTTTAAAAGTAAAAGAAAGCTAATATCTTAACATGGATAATCACATTTAGTGAATATGTGATACTTTGATGGAGTTTTTTTTTTTTTTTAACAACATCTCTTTTATTATACTTCTCCGTAAAATACAATATACAGTCATGCTTTGACGTTTATTTCTAATATTTAGGGGAGTGTTTTTCCTTAAATGCGTCTTGTTCTCTGCAGTAAAATAAGTGAAGTTTATTTTCCTCACTCCTTTCTCTGCTCGGGTCACCAGCTGTTCGCTTTAAAGGCTATAAAAAACACTTTTGCTCGTGATGCTGTTGGCACACCTCTAATCAGGTCATCGAGTCTCTCAACACTCCACATGCAGGGGAATTTAGACCCATTTAATCTGCTAATTGGAAATCCGAATCTCCTCTGGCGAAAGCGCACAACAGAAAAAAAGACAGTGAGGCAGACAGACAGGTGGATAAATATAACCAAACAATCTGCTGCCCTCCTCAAGATGGCAACCAGTCTTTCTGTGAGAAGGCTTTCGTTTTTCAGATGGGTGGATAAGCCTCTTCCAATTAGGTATTTTGCGGGGAACAAAGAGAGACGAGAGCCTCTTCTCAAAGAGAAGCTGATATTTATCCTTAATGTGTGATGCACATGCTAAGGATTCAGAGGAGTGAGCTTTGTCATTTAAAAAAAAGGTTTCAGGTTCATGGTAAAATGTCTCCTAAAGCTTTCCAACAGTTGGAAATAGTGTCTTGATTTTTCACCTAAACTTGGCTCATGTTAATGATTGTGGATAAAATATTATCAGCATTGATTAAAACTGATTCTGTCTCTTTTGGCTCCTGAGTCCATGTTAGTTTGTTTTGATTTAATAGATGTTCTCAGATGTTCTTGGTTTTGTTGCAACATGAGCCGATGCGGGCCCCAAGCTACTGCAACTAGCTGTTGTTAGCTGTGGGCCTCAGGCCTCATCTCGGACCCCGGGTCCGCCTCCAGCCTGCACTGCCCCCCGGCTCAGACCTCCCTCAGAAGCAGCAACTCGTACTATCAATAAATCAAGGAAACGTGAATTAAGTTTTACCAGTTGTATTAAATCAAAGCAGGAGAAGGTTACAGTTTACAGCGCTGGCCTCTGATACAACTGGCGCGGGATCCTGCACTGGAAGGCCGGATGTCACATGACATTACAAATGTATAGGGCCTAGACTCCTTCGCAGAAGGTGAGCTCAGCCTATCACGTGGATAAGAGGCCGGGCTAAGTGTGATCTCATTAACATGAAAGGAAAATGATACGGTGCATAAAAAGCCTTTCTACGTGATGCAGCGAGCCAATAAAAACTCTATTCCTTGACGGATATTGACTCCCCGGGAGACTCTTTTTAGAACTGCTGGCCCCATTTAAACCAGTCAGAACCGGGTCATAATTTCATTATAATCCAGTCTCTGAGTAGATCAAAAATCCAGCGTCAGTCTAGATAAAAATACTAACAGTTTTGTGATGAAGGATATGCCCCTGCTGTTTTCAGCCAGCATAAATTAAAGGTCTTAACCCCTCTTGTGATCTACTTTTTTTATTTGTTTCCTGCACAATTTGAGTCCTGAGCTCAAACACACACTGATTGTCTCTGTTTCTCCAGGAGTCGTCGGACAGCAGCAACACCACCGTGGAGGACGAGGATGTGAAAGGTAAAGCTGCACGGACACAAAAGCTTTTCAAATGGCCAATTTCAGAGCTCAGAAACGCTGAAACTGGGATCTTCACAAGTTTTGAACCATCGCTTGACGCTTCCACAGAACTGATTTTTACTGCAGCCAACTTGTGAAACTGCAGACACTTGTGGTTGGAGCTTTTTTTAGGCAGAGACAGAACAGTGCAAGGAATAAATACATGATGGAAAATTGTAAAGCAAATATCTGTTTGTTTCTTAGAGGGCTTCTTAGATTTTCTGCAAGATTTGACAAACTAAATAATTAAATTTCCGGTCAGTAAATATGCTTGTTTGTTACTCAAGGAGTTTGTCAAAGTGCTTTATTGGTAGTAATCCAAAGAGCATTTAAAACGGATCATTTTAAGCATTTTGTGCTCTGTTTTGCTTGAGCTTCTGTAAATGTAATTTAATGAGCCTCGGGGCAGGAGAGTGTCTCGATGGCAACTGCTGATTGCTTCTGCAACGGTTTTAAATGGGAAGATTTGACCTTGTTTTTTTTACACTATTTCTGTGAAACAGCCACTGAAAGATTCTCTAAATGTTCAGGAAATGTGTCATATGGATGGTGGAAATGTGCTTTAATTTGTGCAGTCGAGCATCTGACAGCTAACCTCTTACTGACCCCTTGTGGAGCCCGGCTGTATGGCCTCCTTCAGCTTATATTTCCCTAATTGCTGAAATCAACTGTGTCTGAGAGGTGAGCATGTGGCTGCGACATGTTAGAGGTCTTGTAACGCCGTCGCAGCTTGGCTTTCTCCAAGTGTTTGGTTGAAATCCACTCCTCAGAAATGCCAACATGCCTGTGTGGAGCGTCAGCTGGCAGGAGTGTGTGCTTGTGTTGCGTGTCTGAGAGTGTGTAATGGTTGTGGAAGTGCAGAGCATAACCCACGTTTCAGCAAATAACTTCAGCACGCGCTTCTGTGCTGAGTCTTTTTTTGTCTTCTTAGTGCTTGTGTTCAGCCTGTACTTTGTGCCAGCACAGCAGAACGCCCCTGTTCTCAACATCTCCGCTGAGCGCCATGTGTCTAAACCGAATCATGAATGTAGCATTTAAGTGCCAACATACAGAACAAATTGTGGGCTTGCGTTTCCTCCATCTACATGTAAAGTTTTCTAAACTACCTCACAAATTCCATAGCAACTACAACATTCAAGTTTACTACCTGCTTGTTAAATAACTTATTTTAGTTTAAAGTTGTCAACTAAACATTATATAAGATGAACCAAAATAGATGTTTTTCAGCCCGTAAAACATCACAAATTGGGTTATTTTCAGTTAGGTGCAACCTTCTTGAAATAACCGTGTTTTATGTGATGAGATGATTTAACAGCTTGTTGCTGCCAATCATTGGGGTCATCAAAAGTGCAATAAATAAAAGGTGCAAATTAGCTGCAAAAGACTTGTTAAAACTTCGTCTGGAAGCTGTGAGGAACCCACTGTTCTTCAAATTACTCAGCTGCCACCTGCCTGTAGTGTCCAGAAGTAAATGGTGTCAAAGCCTCCAATATGTGGCAAAGACAAAGCCCGAAACACGACATCACTAAAGATTTTTTATAGTTAAAGCAGAAATCCTGTTAGTTTCTACCCACTCAGGATGCACAATTTCATTTTTGCAAATGAGTTTGGATGCAGTGAATGTTGTGCTATTATATTTCCAAGAACCGTACATTTATTCTCTAAATGCCTTTTATTTGTTCAGTGAGGTGGACCCTCACTTCTCTAGATGCCCACAGAAGATGCAAAGTGGCTGAGATGCTGAAGTGCACAGATAATTGTGTTGTGGGGACAGTAAGGCAAGACAGAATTTAGTCTAAATGTGGCATTTGTTTATTGCAAGTCATACATATTGATGCATTCTGCAATATATATATATATATATATGTATATATATATATTTGCTTAATAACTGTGTGCAGTGTTTGAGAAGCCAAAACTTGCTTTTACTTTGTTGAACATTTAGGTTGATTTTGGGGGTGGGAATCTTAAGGCTGTTCACGATTCACTTACAATTCAGAGATCTGTGATGCAATTACAAAATGCTTATGGATGCATCTCGGTACTACTCAGCACATTCCAAAGAACATCCAGAAAATACAATCTTTGACCTAAAGGAAAAAGTATTTAGCTCCACACTGCAGTATACGTTTTTATTTACACCATATTGTAGAAACTAAGTGAACAATAGAAGTCAAGTTGCAGACGACAGTGGTGTATAATTCTGTGTTAATAGATGTTTATGCATCATAAACAGACGGCTCAGCATGGAGCGCTACTTCCATAGTCATAGCTTTTTGTCTAGCGCATCTGTATTGCGTGTTGCTAGCTTAGTTATGCACAATGATCGATTGTTTGGGATGGATGGACCCTTTTCTATGTGTTAAAACCAGTTGCTTGGAATTCACCAGGAGGCTGGCTTGAAACACTTCAACGAGGTGCTATTTATAAGACAGATCTGGGTTGGCAGGCCTCAGACTGTGAAGTCTTTTGGATGAAAGATGAAATGTTTCTCTCAAAAAGAAACTTGTCCAGACGACATGATTTAAACTTTTTTGTATTTATTTACCTGGATGATTGATCTTATAAACCTTTTTTTCACTATAGCTTAGCATTATGTCAGTGCTGGCACATGTTTGGGGGGCGGGGGGGGTGTTCAGTAGGCGGGGCACTCGGTTCTGTTGACAGGGCTGGGCGCCCTGCTTGTATAATGGTAGGAGAAACACTGGGTCACTTAGAGTGTGGGAATATGAACTTTTTACCATAGCACCAAAACAAGGTGCAAAAGCCTTGGATTTCAACCGCTGAACGCCGACGCAAGTCCTTCATAACAAAAGTTACAGTGGACTTTAGAATTCGCCTCTCATTTTCAGAGTTTTCAATCCAGCTGTTTTTTCTGTCTCTTCCATGTTGAAATATGGACATAACTTCTTACCAACTTCACTTTTCCCTTTAACTTTATAAAAGTCAAGTACTTCTTAATATTGACTTTCAGTGCAGAAGGAGCTGTTATGTCTCCTCCTTCTGTTGTGTGCACGCCATAAACTCTTTAGAGTTCCACCTTTGCATTCATCAACAGCTTGTTATTAACATTAACTATTAATCAGTTTTTTGACATTTTAAAATAGATTCAAAATTGTTTGCGTCTGCATAAAACATGGATTCTAATTTAACATTTTTACCAAAGTGCCTCCCTGTGAGGGCAGGATTGATGAAAGAGCACAACTTCACTTATTTATTTATTCTTTTGCACAAGAAAAAAGGTTAAATCATGTCATCTGAACAAGTTTCTTTAAGTGAGAAACATTTTGTCCCCCCATCCAGAGGACTTCATCAGTCTGCAGCCTGTCAACCAGTTCTGTCCCATAAGTAGCCCTCATTACTGTTTCAAGCCAACCTGCTGTTGGAATTTCAGAAGTAGGCTTTTAATACATGTACATGCAAACAGAGCACACCCATCCAAATCAATCAATTTTCATGAACAGCACTCAAATTGTTATATATATATATATTATTCTTTTGTATGTTTAGCCTTTCTTGTCTTATGTTATATCCCTTTATACATGAAGGTATTCTGCCCCACCCTCTTCTTCCAAAATGAATCCTGACCAGCACTCCCCTCTGGCAGGAGCAGAGAGGGTTGGGACACCTTGACTTGGTAGTCAGAGCTAAAAGCGGAGGCCTAAATTTAACCTCGGTGGCAGAAAGCAGAGACAAGCTGCCCAGAGAGCCGATACAGTGAGCGCGCTCCGCTCTGCTAGCGCCACCCCTGGATGGTATCCGTCTCGCGCAGCATTTTTCTCACTCTTAAGAAATTAACGGGGAGATAGTGCAGAGCAAACTTCAGGAGCAAGGTGAGTGTGGGGGGAGGGTGAGTCGAGAACAGTTCGTGCCTCGTTGGTCTTTGTGGGATCTCGTCAGGTTAACGGTGGACAGCTGACTGAAACTCAACGCTCTCACTGGCATTTGGAGGATGTTTATATCTGTTGTCTTGGTTTCAATACTTACCAGCATTCTCCTTATGTCCTAAACGGCTGAGAGAAAATCTCTTTATCATAGACTATTCAGATTTTTTGTCTTGATTTTATTTTATTTTTTAAGTTTCTGTAGTAGCTGGGATGTTGCACTGCTGACTTCCTAAATATCATCTGTCAGTCAAACAATGTGAGCTCAACTCTTTCCTGTTGGTTGTTCTTGGTTTCTGTTTTTAGATAAGAGTGAGCAACAAACCTGAGAGAACAGTCTCAAAGGCACTCCATGTGATGGGATGTTGATTAATGTGGCCTTTAATTAAAGAGTTGTAAGCAAACATCATCGTCCATGCTCAATAATCCAGGTCAAAAATCCAACAAAGTTCAGTCAGGTCATCTGGACAGGTTTTTTTTTTTGTTGTTGAGACGTTTCGTCCTTCATCCAAAGGACTTCATCAGTTCGAGGAGCCACAAACAAACTCAGCAACAACAACTAGGCCTGTCACGATAACACATTTTGCTACGCGATTAATTGTCTCAGAAATGACTGCGATAAACGATAATATTGTTTGACATTTGACCATAATTAGTAATGTCAAATTTAAGAAGAAATGTTTGTTAATTTTTGACAACTAGATGGCAGAATAAGACTGTTTGAACCGAAGGATGGATAGTGAGGGAGCGAGCAGCGTGTCTCTAAGAAAAATAGGAGTTAAAACAGATTTTAAAGAGAAGGGGAGGGATCAGTGAAGAGCACCGGAGTTGAGCCTTTTGTCGTCCAGTGTCTTCAGTAGAAAGAGACGAGAAGAAACGATAAAGCCGATAAATGAAAATGAGGTTGATAATTTTAATTTATCATGCGATTAATTGATTTATTGCTTATTGCAACAGGCCTAACAACAACAATAAAAAACGTCTAGATGACCTGACTGAACTTTGTTGGATGTTTTTACCTGCATAATAATAATAATAATAATATACAGTGCTATGTGTTGTCATCATTGTATGTTCATACAATAGAGAAATTAGTTCTCTGCATTTAGCCCATCACATCTGGGATACACCCAGGTGAAGCAGTGGGCAGCTATGTAAGGTGCTCGGGGAGCAGTTAGGGATTAGGTGTCTTGCTCAAGGACACCACGACATGTGGCTGGGGATCGAACCTGGGACTTTCGAGTCCCGAGTCGGCTGCCCTACCTCTATCCCACCGCGACCCCATATTACTGAGCATGAACTTTGATGTTTTGAACCACTTGGGCTATGGCTGCCTCAGAGGAGTCGACGGGGGAGAGGGCGGGCCCCAGAAATCATCTCATCACCAGTAAACTGGTTGGTCCACTATGGGAGTGTGCTGCTTGTGGGACTGAGTTTGTTTGTGACTCCTTGAACTGATGAAGTCCTTTGAATGAAGGACGAAACGTCTCAAAAAAAAAAAAAAAAAAAACATCCAGATGGCCTGACTGCACTTCGCTGGGTTTATAAGCCCAATTTTTAAAGGACTGCTTATTTGTTCATTTACCTACGGAAACAGCTGAAGTGACTGACAATAGATAAACAATGGCAACGTCCAGAGAAGGTCTTACTTTTGATACACTGGTACATGTTTATGCACAGATTTGTCGAGTAAAGCGGGTAAATAAAAATATATGTTGGGTTCAAACAATAAACTTAGCGGTCTAGCACAAGTTTTGTTTGTTTGAATACCAAGCTCTGTCTTTTATGGCGCTCCACCGCCCTGTCCAACCCCAAATATTTATTCTCGACAGTTGTCTCACTCTATATTTCTCTTTTCTTTAGTGTTTAGCAGCAGATTTATTCTTATAAATCCAGCTAAACACCAGAGTTTCTATGCTTGTCTAATTCCACCATATTTGTTTATGTACAGAGATTACAACCACCTTAATGTGTCTCAATCTAGGCCCCAGATTCTGTGGTTTTCAGTAAACAAATACTTTGTTTACATTGAGTACCCACATTTCAGACCTGCTTACTACATATCTTTAGTTTCATAGTTTGCACTGAGTATCTAAACCAGTGGCAGGATTGTCTCCTATTTATTTGTTGTCTTCATTGCACAACACTTTTTTTTCCATTTATTTGTCAGTTATAGAATAGAATAGAATAGAATAGAATAGAATAGAATAGAATAGAATAGAATAGAATAGAATAGAAACAACCTTTATTGTCCCACGGATGGGAAATTTGGAAAAGTTGTTGATTTTACATTTAAAGATGAGCTCGAGTAACCTTCCTAATTATCGTGGCCATCACAGTCGTCATTATCCCTTTGCTCACCGGCAAGGCTTCTATTCTTGTCTCAATAAAACAGCAGCAGCCACAGCTGTAAATCCTGCTGAGACCGAAACATTCGCAGAGATCAAGATTTTAGTTGTTCCAGCTGAGAGAAGCTGTAATTTGTCAGTTTGAGGGAGAATAAAAAGCATATTTCTCTCGTTTATGAATCCCCATGGTGTCATCTTACAAGTCCTTTCATCGTCTCTGTCACAGTTCTCTCATTTGTTGTTCAAAATGTCCGCCTGGTTGTCATTTCTTGAAATACTTGTGTTTGGTGTCATTCTGTGTGTGTGTGCACGTTGTCAGGAAAGAGCTTAGACAACAGCTCGTTTAAGGCGCAGTCCAGCACAAGCTCCCAGCCTGATAGCTCTCAGGGCTCCTCAGCTGCTGTGCACTGTAAGTCAGCATGGTTGGACAAACGCTGCCTGTAACACCCCCCCCACCCCTGCTAGTTGTTGATGAAATACCCTCTGCGTGTTCATTCAGTCCCTGCATGAATTAAAAGCAAACAACTGCTGCTGTTTTGTGCCCTGAGATACCCTGACTTGCAGAGAGTCGGCAGCGTCTCTGCACCCTACAGTCAGCAGACTAAAACTTTTTAATAACAGCGTTAGGAGTGTAAAACAACAAATTATGTATGCATCTTCAGTTTTATTCCCATGTCTTCATGATCGTTTGGACTTGTCTCCCTCTGATGGACTTGAAATGGAACAACAGCACAGTCCTGCTTCATGTCCGTCTTTGTTTTTTTGACATTCCTGCGCATGAAGTTTGCTCTGAATGTTATTCAGACCATAATAACTGTTTGATTAACGTCTAAATTTCACTTGTCAGCCTTCTAGTTTTAGAGTTTTTGTGAAAAAGGAGCTTAGATCCATTGTTCAAGTCCACACAGGTGTGGACAGTGTGGTTTAAACGCAGTGTCCCTACCTTCTCAAACTCAGCTGCTGCAAAGTTCGCCGACCTGCTGGGCTCGGTGCGCAGGGGTTCAGGGCCCGTTCCCGACGGAGAAGGGAGATCCAGCACTCCGCCTCCCACTGCCCTCTCCACCCCCTCCCCTCCAAACAACCCCGTTGTCCCCATGCAGAGTAAGTTGGCGGCAGCAACGACGGGCAGAACTGCAGATTACCTCTAAATGGGAGTTGTATTCAATCAGCTGCCATCTGCTTTTCCTCTGTTTCCATGACAAGACGCTGCATGATGAGAAGCATGGACAGATTACTGTACAGAGCCGAAACAGGCGCAGAAAAAGAGGCTCGAGGGTTCACAGAGCTTACTATCTAATATATTTACTACTTGGAAATCCCAGGAAGGAACGAAAAGCATGTAGTCTGACACAGAAATAAGAAAATTATTTAAAATGACACAAAAAGGCAAACTTTCACTCAACAGACTTAAAATGGTTATAATAGAGCTGAAAAATGACACAAAATGAGATGTAAAATGTCAAAAACAAGACGTGCAAGAGACTTAA